TTTCCCTCGTTCCCTCTGCTCAATATAATGCCATGTCTCTGCAGGGGAAAAAAGCCACGCGGTCAAGCTTCCCAAGGGCCCACCGTCCCCTGTTACAGGAGACGCCGACAGCAGGGGACGGAAGCAGAAGCAGGAGGTGGCAACTGGGCAGCGAGGGCCCCCTTGGGTCTCTGCAGCTGCTCCAGGGAGACGCCCGACTGCCTGCTGGAATGGAAGTAGGAGCGGCTGGGGAAGGCCGTTGCAGACATGCACACCGCTTCTTCCTGGAGCCCCCCAGGGAGGAGCAGGAGGGGCCCCCAGCAGCAGGAGCCGGCCGCCCTCAGCTCCACAGAGGCTCCCCGCCCCAGGAGGGCCTCAGGTGAACGGGCACCCGGTGGAGCCTGAGTCTCTCTGAAGGTCAAGCCTGTGTTTTGCGGGCCAAGGGCATTTACAGAAGTATAAAAGGGTCATTTTTGCTAATGCTACACAATTATACCACAGTGACTGTGGCCCACTGCAGGGACAGCAATAATAGTCCTCAAACGCGAAATCTGGCTTTTAGAGACGTCAAAATAGAGCTGGGCGCTGGGCCCCATTTTCTGTGTGACGTTAGTGACACACTGGAGCTGCGACTTTGTCAATGTGTCCCTCTAAAAGCCCCAGCTGGGAGGGACAAGGGGACAGGCCTCATACAGACATCTCTCTAGCTCTGGCTGGGCAATCTTGAGCGTGGCCAGGCCCTGAGATGCGAGCAGGTCTCACTCCCACCCTCCCCAGGCTGTGAGGGGCAGAAGCCCCCACACCAGGCGAGAGAAAGGGACACAGGGCAGCGGGGGTCCCAACTAGGGAGTGACATTGGCCTCTCACATACCTCCTGCCCGCGGGCCGAGCATGGACACCGCCTTTAACAGTCTTGGTAGCCCTGTGAGGAAGGGAGTCAGGTTCCTTCCCTTGGCACGAGAGGGAACGGGCTAGCAGCCTACATGGCTCTCCCCAGTCATGCAGCTGCACGCCCCTTCCAGGCGGCACGTGCTACTCTCCACTCCTGCAGGGCACTGTCTGGTGCCAAGGGCCACTTCTGCCAGCCCCGGGGCCTCCATGGACTCGGCATCCTGGGGGGTCCGACGCCACACCGGGTGGCGCCTCCTGGGCTGCTCCAGGCTGTCAGTCCCCAGGGGAGCCCTCCTCCGCCCCCGCCCTCAGCACCCTGCCCCTCTTCCAGACTTCCCTGCGGGAATAGGAGCCATTGTCCTGGCCCTCCGTCATCTCCATCTCTCCGTCTCTCTTCTTGCAGCCTCCCTGCCTGATCTCCATCTCATCGCTGCCTCTCCCCTTCCCTGGGCTTTACCCCTGAGGCAGTTTCTCCTTCCAGCCCCTCTCCTGTTCCTTCTAGTGACCCGGCAGGCCTCAAGTGTCCCCTCCTCACCCCTGCGGCAGCCCCGGCCTCCGCAGAGAGAGCGTGGGCAGTGGAGCCTCCTGCTTTCCAAGGCAGTGCTCCCTCCCATGGGCCAGGCAGACCTGCGCTGGGACTGCGCTGGCCGACAGCCACTCTGGCTCCTTTCCACTTCCTTCCGGTTGGCTTCTCCAGGCCCTGCTTCCTGGATCTGCCACCTGCCTGGGCTCCGACGCCACCTTCCCTGGGGTCTCTGTGCATGTGCCGAGCTCCAGCCAGGGTCTCTACCTTCCCCTTGCACCACTCAGCCCCATCTTCCCGTCTCCTTGCCCCTGGCTCCCGCTGGGCTCCCGCGTGAGCTCTGCTGGTCGGCGTCCTGGTCCAGGTCTCAGAGGAAGTCTTTGCCAGCCCTTGGGCTCCTGGGAGGAGCCTGGGCATGGCCATCAGCTTCCTTCCCCTCCTTGGCCACCAGTCCAGGTGGCACCATGTCCAACTGACCCTACTTTGGACATGCGTCTGGAGCCCGGCCCTGTGCCCACTGCCTCAGTGTCTCCCCTTCACCCTCCGTCTGCTTTGTGAAGCCTTCGTGGCCTGACGGAGCCCGAGCTCCATGTTCTGCCCTACAGGGGGCGTCACGTGGGCCTGGGCTGTCCATTCTCCAGGCTCCTCTGCCCCCCCCCCCACTCACCCTTCAGGACCTGCCACAGCCACCCCTCCAGGACACCTCTCTATGCTCGACTCTGCCCCAGTCCCTGGGCCCCAGACCATCCTCAGTCAGGCACCTCTGCTCTCGTCCCTAAGAGCCCTGGGTGGACAGCAGTGCTGGGTCTCTCTGTGCCTCTGCAATCCAGTCCACAGTCCGAGGTCTCCAACATGACAGGCTCCCATGTCAGCTTGTTAAACCAACCACCTGGATCTTCATCCCTCATGCAGGAGAACTCTCAGCCCGGTGACTGTGAACTCCAGGTGGAGAGAGTCCAAAATCAAAATTCGTGAGGCCTTTTTTTTTTTTTTAGAGGTTTTTGCTGTAGGGCGCGTGCACTCGCCAGACAGACAGAGAGAGACAGAGAGATAGAAAGCGAGAAATCACCCCCCAGGAGTGATGGCCATGCTGCAATCCCTTCTCCTCCATTCTCCTCTCGGGATCTTGGGCATGCACACACATGCCCAGTGTGAGTTTTAAGCCACCGGGTTCGGGACGTGAACCGTGGTCGACTACGTGGGAGTCTAGCGACATAGCCATTATGCTAACTGCTGGCCCCACGAGGCCTTTTTTTAACAAGTTAGAATGCCCTTTGATGCAAATGTAATCGATGGGTCCTCAGAGGTTTTAAAAATGATGCCTCTGGGGTCCGGGGAGGCTGCTGAGGTCTTCATGCACAGTTGTGGTGGGCCGCGTGGGAGGAGAGGAAGGCAGAGTGGGAGGTGAGATGGGCCTGGCAGGATGGAGGCTTGACCAGGCAGCAGGCCCCAGGTCCCAAGGCCCCTCCCCAGCCATTCCATCCCACTGCTATGTCCCGGCAGGTCTGGCAGGAGAGAGCCCGCCAAGGCGCTGCTAGCTGGTGATCAGTCCGCTCAGAGACGAGAGTGAGCCGTAGCCCTGGTTCGGCACCCGCACACTCTTATTGAACGCAGTGGTCCACGTTGCTGCTCTGAGGTTACTAAGCTAAGCGAAAGGGTGTTACACCCGACACGCCAGGAGGCAAAGTGACCGGCGCTTTGAATTTGACTACTTGTTTGAAAATTGCGAACGACTGAGATTATTTTGTGCAAATCACACACCTTTTTAAAAATGCATCTAGGAGCACCCGTTACGCGGGTAACCCTGTGGCCACTGCTCCGGGACAGTGGGGATCACTGCCTCTGCCGTTCAGAAACCGAGTCGCTTTTCACTTTTAACCCGCTGGCTTGTCTCCAGACAGAGCTCTACCTGCCCTGTCCAGGGCTGTCCTGGGCTCACCAGGGTCTCTTCTCCCCCAGGGTATGCCCGTATGACGAGCTGGCACAGTCTGACAGGTTTTACGGGAGCCTGCCACGCCTGGTGAAGCTGGCCCTGGCCCTGGGCCGCGTGGCTACGGCCCAGTCTGAGCTGCTCTGCTACCTGGTCATCGTCCTGAACCACACGCTCTCAGCCTCCATCTTCTCGATGGTTCTCCCCATCTTGTGTTTCCTGTGGGCCATGCTTTCGGTCCCAAGGCCTTCAAAACGATTTTGGACGGCAGCTATCTATTACACGGAGGTAGGTGCCATGGGGGACCCTCATCTAAGACCCAGCTCCTGCCTGCGGGCCACACCAACAGACGAGGCACTGCACCGCCACCCGACCACCCACACGCCTTCGAGGCAACTTTCTGTGCCACACATCAAGGCCAGTGAGCGAGTGGAGGAGCCAAAGAATGGAACCCCTCACTGTTCCCCATAGTGCTCACACCCCCAGAGCGTATGAGCGTCCAGAAGTCAGGGGATCAGCGGGTCTCCCCGGCGCTTGCATGTGGTAGGTACACAGGGAATCCTTGCAGGTTTATCCCAGTGGGCTTTGGCCGTGAACTTTTTTATTCTCTCTCTGGTGTTTTTTTTTGGATTGTGGACATGATCTCCCACTAGCTCTGGGGTCCTCTCGACTCCAGTGCACCGTTTGTAAACCAAGACATTTGTCCAGGAAATTAATTGGAGCAAACGTTAGGTACCGGCCATGGGTTCTCTCCTGTCACGTCGGTTTTGTAAGCCCGTCGGGATAAACCGTTGCTTCCCCCCATCACCACTCCTCCCTGCCCCAGCACTCTGGCTAGGGAGTGAGGGGAGATGCCCAGATCTGGCTGGGGTCCCCTCCTTCGGAAGAGTTGAGAGAGCCCCAGGGGAAGAGGCACTCCATCTCGCCTCCCTGCAGGCTGGCTCCTTCCACTCCTCGTATCTCAGTCTAGGCTGGGAGGAAGATTTGCGTTGCCAGACTCTCAAGCATCCTTAGGACGATGCTAATTCTCTGGAAGACATATGCTTTCGGAAGTGTCTGCTACTTTTAAAGAGTGTATATGAGTAGACCCTCCCAGTCACAAATGACACAGGTCTGTTTTGACTTCCTGCTTAGAGCAGAGGCAGTAACTTGATTCCCCTAAAAGTATTCCTGTAATTTGACGTCCAGGCAATGCCAGCTCCCCCTCAAGGGCCTTGGTCTGGAGAGTCTGCAGAGGCCCCGCTCCTCTCACATCCTCCCCCAACAGAGGCCTCAGGAGGAAACATTTGGGAGGCCAAGTCTGGGCTCCTACTGCAAGGAGACGGGGACACAGGCTGGGAATGATGTGTCTGAGTCACCGGCTGGAGTCCTCATCTCCTGCACCCTGCTCGCTGACATTTCCTCTCCCTGGGAAGGAGCCCTCTGTAGCATTCCTCTGACTTCCTCCGGTGCTCACGGCAGACATTACTAATCCATCCAGCCTTCTTGCCCAGCAGGCCTGGCGACTTCTCAGAGTCATCCTCGACTCGTGCTGAATCCGGATGGGTTCTGAGGGTAAAACTCACCTGCCCTCCTCGCCCCAAGTCTTTGAGCTCGCATTAGCACTGCAGGGCATAGTTCTCGGCAGTACACCATGTGGCGGCTAGAACTTGTCCCTGCTGAAGGGACTGTTTGGAGCCTTGAAGCAGATCTGGGTTTTCTGTGGTGTGGACAGCTGCAGCTTCTGCACTGGTACCCTGACCCAGAGGCAGGCTCTCTCAGTTCAGACTGACTGTCAAAATTTACTTGAAGAATAAGGGAGGGCTAGACTGGAAAGTGCCTTCAAGATGATCTGGACCAGCTCTCTGAGTTTGCAGACAAGGAGTCGGGGCACGGGGCCTGGGGCAGCATCCAGACTCCCTCTTTCCCGTTAAGTAGGGAGATCCGCGGTCAACCGTCACAGCTCCCAGAGTTCATGGCTCCCGGGCTAGGGAGGCTTCCCACTCCTCACACCCTCGCCCCATTATTTCCTGGCTACTTCCCCACAGAAGCGGCATCGCCAGCCCCTGATAGGGCCCCTCTAGACACAGGCTGTTTATCCGGCTGGAGAGCAGGCACTTCCAGAAGTCGGGGAGGCTGAAGCCGTCCTCTCCCCTGAAGTAGCACCTCAAAGCATTCAAACAGTGCTGTATAACATCACCCACTGTCCGGCCATCGGCCTCTCTGCTCCTCATTGGTAGTAGGTCAGCTTTACGAGGACGGGCACTTCGGGTGACCCTTTCCTCTTGAACGAAGAAAACAAAGCCATTTTTGAGCATTTTCAGCATAAAAAAGACAATCTCTTAGAATCACTACCCTGCATCTCAGCCCTCCTGCCTGAATCGGATTGATTTAGCAAGCAGCGAGCATCAGGAGAGATTAAAAAAGGAGCAACAAGAGAACCAGCAGTTAGCGTAATGGCTATGTCGCTGGACTCCCACGTAGTCGACCGC